TCTCATGTACAAATCTGGATTTTCTATCATAAAAATAATAGTTTGGGGTAGGCCTAGTTATTTATAGACAATGCTGTACGTCTGAACCAAAAATCCACCTGAAACACGTCTGTAAAATTTAATCGTGAACAAAAGTACTAATGAATCGAGGGGTCATGCACCTGAGGTATATGCTATAATGTTTGCAGTAGCTAAGATTCTCCGTTTCTTACAAGTTTACCTCAACATTAATTCAACAGTTTCTCCCCTTAACATCAAGACAGTTGTTGGAAGTGACTTTCAGCAAAACTAGTTTGTTAAAGATGTGAAGAAGACAACACGCTTTTCTGTACTTCATTTCCCCCAATGTAGTGGGGAATATTGACGCCCCCTTTGAAGTGCCCAAGCCCAAACCTACAAACACACCCACATAAAAAACATGACAGCCTCTACTAAAATGTCGATTATGAATGTCATGTGTCATCCCCCATACAAAAATTGCAAATCCCCGCCCACCAAAAAGTCTCTGTTCCTCTTCAGGATTTTTAACTCATTTTTTTTTTATAATCATATTAACCGAAGAGTGTGGAATTCCACCTAAAGCATTGGAGAAGAAACAGTAAATCTGATCCCTTCTTTAAATACCAAATCACGGTAACAGCATAATATGCAACACTCACTTCTGAAAAAGACACATTTGGGGAAATTTCCGGGAAAAAGGCCAAAGAAATTTGAAAGGGGAAAATCCCTGTTCTTTTCCCCCGTTGGTTACGCTTCAGATCACACGCTTTTTTTCCCTAAAAAAGGTTTTCCTTTCAAAAATATGATGGCAGCTTCTTATCTGTTAATTATTAATGAGTGATGGAGTTGCAATTAGACAGCACTGCTTTGATTGACCCGGATTCGTGTCCCACATAAAGCCAACACGAACTTCGATGCTCGGAATAATTAGACCGGCAATCGATGAAGTGTTAATTATGACAGGAACCCTCCTCAATGGTCGCACTTGCTAATGAATCTATAGTCCGGCACGACCGGAATAAAGCAACTCGCGCTGGCACAGTTTCAAGAGCGCTCGGGATAGATTGACACGAATTCACAACCCGGGAAATATTTCAAGATTCTTTGTTCTATTGAAGAAAAAAAAAACAATCGTGCCTATGTGAGATTGGGACTAATAAAAGTGAAAGATATTTATATACACATTTGTAGTGTTTGGAACTTCACAAATGAAATGTATGGGAAGAACACAAAAAATGGTTGATTCGACCTTTCTGGTACCTCTCTGTCGACATGGATAATTGCCTTCGTACGACAAAAAGCCAATATGGAATTGTTCGACTTCTATCAGACCACAACCTAATCGCAGTAATAATAGATAACACAATGTTAGCTACTATATGATTCAACGTGGGACCTCTGATACTTGGCTTAATTAGTGCAATGCACAGTTGGCATATACTTTCAGAGTATTTTTTTGAGTGGACCCTTTCGAAATCCCGAATTCGTTCCCGAAAATCCAGAATCAATATCGATAATAAACGAAAAGAGTTTAACTTACAGAAATCATAGTTCACTATGAAGTCATTACCACAGAGGGGGCGGGGCCAAGACCCAATAGTGGATGATGATGAAAATTTCAACTTGGATAAACCAGTATCGAATAGTGTGCAGAGGCTATTCGAATAACTATATAGGTGATTCCCACTAACCGAGAAGGAAAGGGATGCTATATCTGGCCATGACAAAGAACATCAATTGACGTTCACTATTGAAGTCATGAGGTTTTTTTCTGTCAATGAAGTGATGAGTTATAGATCATTATCACGTTGCGGCCATCTTGATTTTTTCCCCATTCAAATCAACGTAACCAAAACGAGGCTGGCAAGAAAAATAGTCTGGTTCCTTTTTTCACAAAAACCATTATCATTCAGTACTGTTATTGGATACAGGGAACATGACTGAAATGGTGGCAGCATGATAAAGGTCTATTGTGGCTTACTTGTAAGCATTGAAATGCCAAGTGTTGTGATTTTCAATTGGTTACTGCATCCCTCTGCGGAGAATGAAACTCCCAAGTGTATTGATAATACAAAGTAAGATAAGTACAGAATTGTGGTTCTCTTGCAAGAACGTGGTGAAGCTATATGCAACACGTTCCAAAGGACTTCTAATAACAGTAACCAATCACAATAATTCTATCATTTCAAACCAATCTTGGATTGGGACTATCATCTCACGTAGAGGTGCAAGCGAAAAATGGACACCAAAGCAACGGGAAACGACCAAAACAATGCAGAGATCCAGAAATGACAACTGTCTATTGTAGAAGATCTAAGCATGAAGTAGAAGATTTGTAGCTCCTCTCCACAAGAAAATAAAGCCAAACACCTGAGTCATAATTATGCTATTATTAGACTACATGAAGCATCACATGATTTGTGCTCAGCTATCTAAATCATTTCTTGAATGCCACCTTAACCATCACCAGCATCCATTACTTTTCGTCATCATAGTCACAAATGTCACCATCTCCATTTTTCACTACCACCCATATCATCCGTATGAAGGCTCACCGTCATCACGTTATATCTCCTTAGCCAACATCACAACCCCAATATCACAAACACCATCAGCACACTCACGAGCGCCATCATCACCACCATCGCCAACTTCACCACACCAACCCCTGGCTTGTTCATCATTTGATATGTCACCGCTTTACCGCCCATGAAATTACTATCATCAATATATGGTAATCTCAGTCACCTTTGTAAATACCACCCGCATCACCCAAGTCACCAACATTATCACCGCAACCATACTCATCCATTATTCACCATCATGACCTTTGTACTCTCCATCAACATCTTCATCAACATCTTCGTTATCACTACAATCCAAACGTCTATCATCGTAATCGTCACCACCATTACTACCACCATCAACCTATACGCATCAACATCAACATCACAGCTCACCACCTATCACCTCAGCATTATACCTTCAACATTGTCGGCACTCACCACTGTGACCCGACAATCATCACCTCAACCCCGACCGAATCATCAGTTTAAACAACGGATATCACAACGATCGTAGACACACACGGCAATAATCACAAACAGTCTATAATTTGGCGTGCCTGCATTTGGTCAAATTTTCCTCATTTTCTGAAGGGGGCACTCACAGGGTTACGAACATTAAATAGCTATTTTTTTGCCTTCCCAAACTCTTAGCGGGGGAAAATACCTCGAGCGGAGGGAGAGGGTGCACCAAATGACCCCCTCCCTCCCCCGTTGCACGACTGGAAGTTTACCGCGTGAAAAAAAACAGCCCAATATAGGTTTCCAACCAAAACTGACCAATCTGCTATATACTCAAGTTGTGCTCCTCAGTTTTCACGTCAGCATTGCACAGAAACTGCAAGACGTGATCACAACTTTGTTAGGGAGTTACTTAAGATGAAGATGGAAGGAACCGAAAGTACACTGGATGAGAATTAGGGTTAGAACTCCGGGGGCTATTTTGGAAGGGGGTACAAGGCCTTTACCACTAACTAGACCACGCCCCCATGGGTAGCGCCCCCTTAGGTTGCGCCCTCTTAAAGTTTGTGCACCATTATCATGTTGCGGTTTTGTCATGTTGATTTTTTTCCCATTCAAATCAACGTAACCAAAGCGAGGCTGGAAGGAAAATAGTCTAGATCTTTTTTGCACAAAAAACATTACCATTAAGTACTGTTATTGGATACAGGGAACATGACTGAAATGGTGGCAGCTGCGGCCATCATGATTTTTCCCATTCAAATTAACGTAACCAAAGCGAGGCTGGAAGGAAAAATAGTCTGGTTCATTTTTGCACACACAAAATTATCATTCAGTTCTGTTATTGGATACATGGAACATGACTGAAATGGTGGCAGCATGATAACGGTCTATAGCTTGCATTCCGGGGAGTGTCACGATCCGCCAATGAGACTCGACTGACTGACTCGACTGACTGACTCGACTGACTGTCACTTGTGACTCAGACTGGTTGTAGGCTGGTGAACACAGCCGGGCAGTGCTGTTGTATAGGATTACCCCGTACCGAGTCAATGAATGGGCTGAATTATGTGAATAGAAGTTTTAGCGCTCTGACTTAGGCTGCTCAAGGGACCATCATTATAGGCTTGCCTAGGTTTTCCAGCAGCTTGTAAGACACCTATCTCTGCGAGATAAGAAATTGTTCATGTGTATTTTGAGACGACATTAAATCCTGGAAATCGTACTTGCATTTCTTTTTAACGTTCACAGCTTTCCAGATGTCAACGAATGTGCGTTGATGCACAAGGGGAAATCCACAGCATCATTGCAACTTTCCCTTTGGCAGTCAGAAAGTTTTCTTCAACACACTCCTGTTTCTTTCTCTTTTCCTTTTTATTCTGGAGGACCTTCGGTATGTACAAGGCGAGTGGTTACAATATTAATGAGTTGACACTTTGCCCCCCGAGTCGAGTGTCTAATGTACAACAATATACAAACTCACAATGGTAGGTGACAGGGGCCACGGGGACACAAATTTACATATTGAATAAATGCATAAATAATACATAGAATAAACACAGCTGAAGTATGTGGGCTCGAGGTGTGAAAGACCACTCGACAGGAAAATTATGCGTAAACCGGGAGTGAGAGCGAGTGATTCGCATTTGGGCATATAACATGATTCGGACAGCTTTCTGAAAGACGGACATTCAAATAGGAAATGCAAAACGCACCGTTAGAAATTGTACTCTGTTCTTTTTTTAATCCTTTGTACTTTTCGGTGAAAAAAATTGGGAAATTATATAGACCTACTATAACTTGACGAGAAACGGGACCAGTGCTTATAAATTAAGCCTCAATGAACACGAGTACTTTTGTTCAAAAAAGGATTACCTTTTTAAAATTAAATATTTGTTTTAATGAGAAGTTGTTTTTAATTTGGGACTTTGAGCTCATAAGACTCTGTTGATTGTTTTGAATTCTTCATTACTTCATTATTTCGATCGTAGTCAGACTACAAATTTAGTTTATCAAAACACACAGATTATATCTGTGTATACAAAAGAAAGTATATAAACAGTATAAAAAGTTTGTTATTATTTCATCCCATTTCAATTATTATTTACATCAAAGAGGACAAGAGTTACGGCAACAGTGGCACAAATGTTGCGCAAAGTTACCCATAATTCTGGTTTCTTTTCTTAATATAAAACAAAATGTATATAGTAATACTGTGTGTAGACAGTGATCGAATCTTGCCATGTTTGAAGAAAGAGGCAACACCGAGGAGTTTTGCGGCCACTTTCTACGAGTACCTTAAAATAGCCGCTATAGAAAAATGTTGGCTGTTAGAACTACCATTCTGGCTTCCATTCTATGCAACCAACAGTTTACATGTCATACATTAAAATTAGATAAATAAATCCAACTTTAATTTGGATTTTTAAAAGTCTTTTTTTCCCCGTTTTTTGTGTTTCAAGTTTTCAATCTCTCTCCGGCTGCCGCTTGTCTTCGGCGTCGATGGGCGCACGCGCAGAACTGCCGGGCGAGGAAGAGCGAGCCCGGCCGTTGCTGTTGCTGGCCCGCGATGACGTCATCCGCTGGCACTTGCAGTCACGTGACTGGACCTTGGTCTCCTTCTTGTACTTGACCCGCCGGTTCTGGAACCAGATCTTGACCTGTTTCTCGCTCAGGTTCAGGTAGGTGGCGATCTCGATGCGGCGGAGGCGCGACAGGTACATGTTGGAGGCGAACTCTCGCTCTAGCTCCAGGAGCTGCGTGCTGGTGAAGGCGGTGCGGATGCGCTTGCTGCTAGACAGGTGGTCCTGGTCCATTCCCGAATGGTCGAGAGCTGCAAGAAAACAAAAAACATGGCGGTCACGCACATGATCAGTTTAAAATACGCTTGGTCCATTCCCGAATGGTCAAAAGCTACAAGAAAACAAAAAAAAACATGGCGGTCACGTACACGATCAGTTTCGTTCCCGAATGATTCAGAGCTGATTGAAAAAAATACAAAATACAAATACTTTGGGGAAAGAATGCGTGGAACCATCTCGAAATGTCCAGAAAATTTTTCAGACGAAATCCCGCATCAAAGTCTTAATTGTGTATTCTAAATCTGTTTCAACCATTTAGGTCCATTTTATTGCCGGTTGGAGTAGAAAGTCGAAGAGAAAAAAAAGCAAAACATGATGAAAACATCTCGTGCTTTAGAAAAATGTCACAACTATCGGTGGAGATGAAGACAAGTTTTGAAAACTGCAGTGAAGTTCAAATCATGTAAAAAGAGTTTAAAGTTAGCTGGTCACATTGAACAATTTAACTGTAACGCTTCGCGTGGCGTCATCGTCTAGTATATTATATTTGGATGCAAAGTCGTATTCCATTTTTAAACGGGAGTAGCGTAACTGGCCATCCAAAGGTATTTATGGCAAAAAACGGGGTCGACTTCGATTGACAATGGTTCATTTCCCACTCCCTAAGCGACCGTTCTTAATGCTTAAACATTAAACAACACATTTCCCCTGTTAATTGCATATTTTTTTATGCAATGACACAAAAGTCTTTTATTTGCAATATTCAAGCGTGAAAATCTTAATTAATTTACTTTGCAATTTTCGGTGTTTTTTCCTTGGTTTTTGTTGTTGTTGTTGGAACAATGGTAATTTATTGCTGCCTAACTTTTCCAAGTCTTTAATCGGCACACACGAAATTTTCCCTTTTTTTAGCTGTTCGAGTCTTTCACACACCGAAGGCCTATATGAACTTAGAAACCTACGTCGGAAAAGAAATGTCCGATCCAGGACCAATCTTTCTCAGTCAGGTAGGGCTTACTTAAAAGTTACTTAATTTGGACATTATACTTAGGAAATTCGATCCTAGTTTTACAGTCAGAAAAAAAAATCCAAGGTACTCGAGTGATGATTCCGTGCGTGTGAGCCTACGCGCCTGACAGCCAATAAGCTGATAGCCAATAAGCCCATAATTGGTCCAAAAATACTCAATGAATTTGCCCTTGCCCTTTAAACAATGCATTTTGTGTGATTATGGCGTTCAAGAAAATATATAAAAATGGAGCAGTCTGTGCAAAGGTTATCTGTCCCGTATTTAGGGTCCATTTTCACACCCAATCCAAGAGAAAGTACACAAAAGAGCTTTTTATCGATAATTGGTGTTTGTGAATGTGAGCTCACCAGCGTCAACATTTCCACGCAAATATCTGACGCTGTTATCTCTAAATAAGATTAAGCACAAATGAGGGGCAAAATCGCACGTAGATTAAAGTCCAGTATTTCGGTTTTTTAAATATTATCTTGCCTATTTCGCAATATTCGACTGATGATAAAGTAACAGTACTAATTCTGTCCTGTGTCGATAACCCTACGACATCCCCCAACGCTGGGAATACTACATCTGGGCGCATACCGATCACCCGTGCTGAAATCATCTGTCATTTCCCACGTCCAAAATATGCACTGATTTTTGTTCTTTCTCCAAAATCCAAAGTGAGAATGACAGAACGGCAACACATCACTTCCGATCGATTTTCAATCTCTTTTTTTTATCGAGTATAATATGGATACAAAGGTTTTTTTTTTTTAACGGGGATCGAGTACGCTTAGTGTCACATCTCGTAAAGATAAAGACTTTTGATGGAAGCCGTTTGGTATCGAATTTCTCGATTACGAGGAATCGATACTGACCAAGTGATCGTTGGCGCGCTCAGAGTTACGTGTCTGTAGAACAATGAGCACCAAAAACAAAGGATAAAACAAGAAAGAACATGGGAGTCGGCAAACTTTGGGTGTAAATCAGTTTAAACTAACTCTTAATAAAAAGAAAACAGTTTTCTTATGAAATTAACTTAATTAATTTGAAAATTTTAGTAATGGAAAAGAAATGAAAGTTTCGCACTTGCTTAGCTTTGTTTTGAATAAAGCCCATGATCAACGTATTGGTCATTTTTTTTTCGTTATTCAAAAAAATAACATTGAATGCTTTTTTGTTAGTCTAAAATGACATTATCTATTAAGAAAAACTAGATGAAAACTCAAGATGTCAGACGCTAAACTGTAATTTAAAAAATGAAATCAAAACAAGAAAAATATTGATAAAAATTCTTCGGCTTACCCATGGGTAGGTATTGGAGTCTCCTCGGGTCTATGGTGGGGCGGTAGCTTGTGTGGGAGGATGGCGGCGTGTGCTGGCTCATACTATGGGGAGGGGGAAGCCCCAGACTTGACGGGTGAAGGTGATGGTCCCGGCAGGACTCGAGGTAACTTCTGGTGGGGAGCATGCGGTGATGCTCGCTGGGCGAGTGATGCGACGGTGCTAGGCTGGCGAGCGGGGACTTGAAGACGGCCACCGCCGCGGAGGTCGGGGGAGGCATCCCGGGCAGACGGCCCACGCAGGTCGCCTGGCTCTGGTCCCGTACGCAGATGGGACAGGTGGGTATGGTGTCCGTGTGATGGGTCTGGTAGCATCTCAGACTCTTGGGCTCACCGTTAGTGCGGAGGTGCATGGAGGGAGGGGTGCGTGGGTGCTCCCTCTCGCTAGACGGGGGCTGGTTTAAAATCAGCGAGTCCACGTAAAAAGACCGAGACATGATTCAGTTGAGAGAGAAAAAAAGTTTGGCGATTTTCTTCCCGAGATCTTGGAAGAGTGAGGACACTTGTCTCGTAGACAATGCCCTGTCGTTCACGGAATGTTTGTTGTTGAGAAGTTGGTAGCGTGGCCCGTGCGATGCGGTGCGCTGGGTTCAGGCTGATGGCTCATCAGGCCGGGTAGCGGCGCCCTTTTATACCGTCCAGCAAACCCACCAACCCCCTTGCCCTGGCCTCGCTCGGCTCGGGTCGACTCGGGCTTAGATCAGGTAGGCTATTGGCGGTTCTGACATTGAACTGCGAACCGTATCTGCCCCCCTCCGTTAAACCACACTTGTGTAGTCTAATCTTTATTATGACTCTCATCATTACTATGCAAACATCACGGCCGGCAGGCTTGGTCCACTACCCCCCCCCCCTTTGCTTTTTCCAATTTTTTTCTCTCTGATCACTCACTGTATTTTTTCTCTATTTTTTTTATGGATACCCCAACCGCATTGTTCCGGGGGGAGCCTCACATGTAATGTCATGCTTGGGGCTCACTCGTCATTGATGGCGATTCCTCACGCGTGCCGGCCACGCGAGTCGGCTTTCTGGAGCGGAAAAACTACACACACGCTCGTTGAGGTTGCCAACAAACTTGCAAGACTTCAAGGGGGGGGGGGGGGGGTGAGGGAGAGCCGTGGGGCATTACGGTAGCTCATGACCAGGGACAACCCCCGGTCCGAGTAAGTGACCAGTGGTCGACCAATCCTATCTTTGCTCCCTCCCTTTCACGGTTGGCTTAGCAGCTGAAGGGATTTCCACAACCCTCCGCTGGCAGCTCATGATATGAAATTAATGAAACATACGCAGCGAATTCTATCCTCTTCGGTACAGTCTTAAAGCGTCATCAAACTCTGCCAATACAACACTCGCAGGCAATCCTCATACGAGGTCAAGTAGGCCTGCGACATGATGTTTACCACTCTATCACATCCGAAACACGGGAGTAAATCTACAAATGAACAAATATAGCTTCCTAACTAGACAAATTCAAGTTTTTAAACGTCTGCAACACAGAAGAATACTTTTTTAACACAATTTCGAAACACAATTTCTATCTGGCAATAGCTATGATTACTTTCATTACCAAAAAAAAAAAAAAGAGGGAGGAAATTCTTGCGACTTCAATAAAAACGCACTCATTTGTTACAAAACTCGATGGAGTTTGATTTGGATTCTGAGATAATGGGCGAAATCTGTCAATGATAGGATTATACGAGCCTGAATCAATAGAGGCGTACGCGAGGTGCATCGTCCACGGAATTCGGCAGTTTGCCGTTGGGGGGATTGGACCGCAAACTGCCCACTGCCGGTACCCAAGCAAACACGGTCAGTATCGCCTAAGGCGCCGTATAATTTCACCCCATTGCCTATAATATACCGGGACAAGACCAGTTCCCCGTTGTATACACAATCGTTCAAGAGAAGGATTTTTTTCAGTCTGAAGGGTGAGTAAATACGGAACAAAGAGGGGTCGTTTTGGTTCGTTCAGAAGCCACAACGGTTGTGCCATAGACCACCCTTCGATGCAGCCCCACCAAACAAGTTATTTTATTCTTCAACGAGCGGGCACTGGCGATTTTGGTCCGGGGTTGATAGCATCGACTGGCCCGCAATCACTGCCTCATAGCCCGCTGCATGCACAGCCAGCACCCATCCGTGCTGTTCTGCCCTACCGCGCCGGCAGCTACGCCGTAAGGACGGGCCACAGAGCTGTTTCCACAGTCTTTAGATACCAAAACTTGGTTACTTTGGCTTGTTTAAATCTCTCCTCAAAACAAGCCTAGTCGGGGTTGTGCAAGCAAACTCAAAAAGTAAAAGAAAGGAGAGTACAGTCACCTAAAAGCCCACATCAACGAAGCCACCTTTTCTTCTTGAAGAAAAAAAGAGGGCAATGAAGGAAGCCGTAGTTTGGACGCCCAAGGCCCCAAGCTCAAGCCCGGGCGAGCCCCCATTGAAGACGGGAGTTAGCTGGACACGTCAAGTCGTATTTGGATCCCACTTGAATACGACTAATGAGGCATGGACTACGGAAACTAATAAATGTCAACAATCCTTAGCGAATATCAAGTTAATCTTGCCCGGCCGTATACCTGCACGTTTGGCTTGTCGCTTTCTTGAACTTCGATTCGCAAGAAAAAGGGAAGAAAGCTGGCTGTGAGTGGAATCAAATACTAAAGCGTAATTCTGATTTCTGGGGGGAAAATGGTCCAGTGGTACATGGGGGACTCTACAGTTGCTGCATAGTCATCAGAAAACCATTTTCTCTCTCTCTCTCGAAGCATAAGTGCCGAAAATCTTGCACACGACTGGAAACAAGTCTTGCATGTATTACAATTCACCACGGGAACAAACTTCAAATTAATTAAAAAGTTACTTTTTTAAGACACAATTGTGTTTCGGATGAAAATATGCTTAAAGGTGTACAAGCACAGTGCCTCAGAGAGCACCAGTCTTTAAAAAAAAGAAGAAGAAGAAGAAGAAGGGTTCAAGAAGGGTTAGCCTATGCCATTTTACCGTAAATCGACAAGGCCAATGGCTACTCAATATGATAGAGAGCACCATTCTTTAAAAAAAAAGAAGAAGGGTTCAAGAAGGGTTAGCCTATCCCATTTTACAGCAAATCGACAAGGCCAATGGCTACTAAATATGATTACCTCAGACTAGAAACAAAGAAGCAAGTGAAAAAGAATCTGTTGATATTTCGTTCAAACTAAATCCAGTAGACCTATATACTGCATAGAGTACAAAATAATGAGTTTAAGGAAATACAAAGACTTCTCGAGCATCGACATCGTCCTCTGGTCAGTAAATGAACAGACCCCCACCCATCAGCCACTCGTCATCGTAATGTCCACAATCACAGAAATGTGTGAAGAAGTTTGATAACTGGCTTGGTGGGACCACAGATACGTTTGTGTCCTGGAGAGGTTTTCTGTTGGACCGGGGGGAGGCAATGCGGCCGTGGGTCCTCATATTATAATATAGGCTCAGCACACCGAGACCGCTTAGTGACCAACAAATGTAACCATACACACACCCTGGTCCCTATCAAGCACTCACACGTTCATCCTAGAAAATGGTACCGGCTTTTTTTTTTCAGCCGTAATAATTAAAGAGGTAATGAATCAGTGATCTTGAGTGCTTGTATATGGTGCAAACGACGCACTTTACAACTGTTTTGGTTTTTTGTCTTCATCAAGGGCTTGTATGCGGCCACATGCTCCCTCCAGATCGAGTGGACGGTCCGGGTTGGGTCAGCCTGCGCGCTCTGAGGCTCGGTCCGTGACGGGGCGAGAGCGGCCAAGTCAAGATCGGTGGAGTTGCCGAGCCGAACCCCGGTCGATATGGGAGTCATTGTTACACCAGAGACGGAGATATGCGTATTATACCATTGCAGTCAATAATCGGCCTCCACTTCATCAGAAGCAAACGCAATACAATAGAATTTTTTTATCATCGTCAATTTTTTTCTCTCGCAGAAGCAGATAAAAATCTGACCATCATTGTGGTATAGCAAGGACGACACTTGACTTTTTTGCGGTTAGGGTGGAAGAGAGCTTGTGATGAGAAACAAGTCAACTATGGGAGCGTTTGTGATCGCAATTACACTAGTATGACGGACAGTCGTACATCAGGGATTTGTCAGCTTGAGCCCAAACAACTTAGTTTAATTAAACCGATTACACTGTGCGAACACTGAAAAATTATAGAATTTTCATCCTCTGCCTTGATATTACAGAAGAAGATGCATCATTGAAGTATACACTGGCTAGAATCAGCTTCTAATTTGCAAAATTGTTCGATGAAAAGCAGTAATTTTCAGGCTAGTGGTTCTATTAGGCCAAATGGCATTATTGCCGAATAGCCCCGGGCAGTATAACGCATATGTAATTATGACATCTTTGATACTGGTCAGCAATTTTCCAACCGACCGTTACCCGTCCCCCCCCCCCCCCCCCCCCACCCGTCGGCCAAATTGGCGGGCGCAAGTCCCAGCCCCCGGCCGATGAGAGCTACCCGTACAGCCGGCCGGTCAGCCAACTAGTCAATAATGGGCTTTGATTGCACGGGGATAGGGCAAAACCAATCTTATTTACGGTCAGAGCCCCTCCGGTGAAATAAAGTGACCCTTTGTAAATCACGCCTGAGCGCGGCAGATCGAGGAAACACCGGGAAAAGCACGCTTTATAAACCACTAGACATAATAATAATACTCCATCGATTATCAATTACTCGCAGTTTTTTTTTCTGTCTGTAATTTTTTTTCGCGGGGCTTTATCACTGATGAGCAATTGATGTTTACACGCGCAATAAAACTGCGGTGACTCGGAACAAAAGATGATGGGTAACTTGATGAGAATATCAGGGGACTGGATGGAGGGCGGAGGAGGATGAGCATTTGGTACTATGCGTCAATTATTGGTTATCAAAGATAATGACGATAACAGTGAGGGAGGTATAAGATTTGACATTGATGGCGATGATGATGATTTAGTGGCGATAAGGATCATGCAATTTGTAGGAACGGGATGGTGCTCTTGACAACAAAGAACCAGGGATGTAGTCAAGTCCCTGCAAGTCCATCACAAGTCCCTGCAAGTCCATCACAAGTCCTCCAGTCCCAATTCAACTCACAAGCTATTCACATGAACATTCACAAAAGCATTCCTTTGTTTTTGATCATTTGCTGTTACTTGTGACTGGACTAGTGAATGGATTGGGCTTTACTTATGATCGGACTTATGATGGACTCGATTCCTGCAAAGAATGCAGGTTTTCTCCCTGTTTTTGAACAGGGTGCATTATTTTGTCTTTGTGTTGGTGGTACTGTCGGGAGGTGGTAAAATCCTTAAAATTTCTCAAGTTTTTTTTACCGCTGCAAGTTATGTATGATGATTATAATTATACTACTGATATAAATATGTATCGTAAATATTATGAGTATATACATGTATTGTTATAAACATGTATTGTTCATGGCTCAAGGGGTGGGGTTAGCTTTCGGGGGGCAGGCTACATTTTTCTTCGTAATTGTCCATTTTTTTGCGTAGATCTGCCACTGCAGAACATAAAGACAATAAGAAAGGAAGTTCACGACGTACAAAACACATTACATCACATAAAAAAAAACTGGTGAAGACAAT